TCTACAAATATGTAGATAGTGTGGTTTCACTGTGACAAACTAGAACTGACCTAAATAGACAGCTGGCCTTGTAATCTAATTATAAGAAAAAAAGAAGGGTCACAGATAAACAATTAGTCAACTTTAATTGCCTTCCAGTTAGCTGTTCTATATAGCCAGTTAACTCCTCCAATTACCAGGCGTTTAATTTGCCATCTCTTGAAGGACATACCAGAATTATATTAGTTAGCTTAAGAAAAAGTTCGGGGGTGAGGGGAAGGGAAGTGAGTGATCAAGAAAGCAAAAGAGAGTGTGCACTGGAGATGGAAGTGAGGTCAAAGTGGGGGTACAGGGACTACTGGCCAAGGCAGGGGAAGAGGCTGTGTAATTGGAGGGAGGGGCACTAATCAACTGAAGATGTGTCTTAAGGCTTTGCCAGTAACTGTGGCGCCTGGATTATTCTCTCATGTTTATGGAAGTGAAATTATACCTAAATATTAAGGACAAATGTTGGCTGCTCAGGCATACCATCTAGGCCTGTCTCTGTTTATGAGAGGTAGCAAGAGCATGTGTCTTTGTCTGGTTTCCCAATATGCTTGAACTGAGCTGACTACAAAAGCCTGCAGTATCTGATGGACAGAATGGCTACCTCAGGGTTTAACAGTAAAATTTTGAATTTAAATACCACTAAAGACTTATTTAAGACTTGCTTGAGAGGAATCATATTTATGTAAGGACAGCCAATGAATGTCAATTCACTCATTTATAAGCAAATAATGGCTTACTCAGGACAACTAAGCTATATATCACTATCACAATGTCTACACTTTGTGGCCTAATGTGTTTTCATACCATATTGGCTTTTGGCAAATCCTGACAGGCCTATAAAACATCCCTATGAAAGTCTGTGCTGTGTTTACTGTAAGGAAGCATGGGGCTGCTGTTCCAGAGTATCTTCTGTGAGGACAGTCCTTAGGGACAGCTCTCTGGTCAGATTATGCTTGGGTCCCCCCAGCACTGATCTACCTTGTTTAAAAGGCACAGTGTGTCCCGCATCACCCCTCAGTAAATATGAGTAAGATCATAATGTTATTAGGACTCCAAATAATGATGCTCCAAGGCCCTTGCAATCAGGAAATTCAATTTCCCTTCACAGACATTTCTGGAATTATCCAAGGATAATGACATGCATAATCCAATGTGTCCCTAAGTGATGCTCTTGCAAATGTTTACCAACCCAGCAACCCTGGCAAAAAACAAAACGAAACAAAACAAAAAAAAAACCTACTTGCTCATTTTCTTGAGGTATATACTTCTACCACAGCCAATATGATGTCATGGAAAATGAAGTTAGCAAGAGATGCATCGTAGCCTATCATTACAGTGTTTCCACCACAGAGATAGATGTAAACAACACCTACCCACAGATAACAGTAAGCTGCAGCAAGATAAATAGGATGTTTATCATTACCTTTGTTTTTTGTACTTTACCTATTTGTAAATTTATATAATTTAATATTTAGATAATAACTGTTTAAACTTGCAAAAGTCCTGAAAGTTTAACAGTTGGTTCACATGAGTTTTAATGATTGGCTTTCATCCAAAGTTGACTCCAGCATACCAGTACACAAGGTTGGGAGTCCCAGGTCATAGTTTGCCCTTCACTCTTTTAGAGTAATAATTCCTGTCTAAAATGAAGCAAAACCTTAGCCCGATTCCTTTTCTGAATTCTCACATGCCCAGAAAGCATGGGAAGCAATTTTCTAGATGCAGTCAGAACCACTACCATCTGCCAGTGCCCTGCTCCAAAGTCAGCTGGTCAGGCTTGGGTGCTCAACAGGGGTTCTGTCTACCACACTGTCTGGCGCCACTGAGCTTCCTACACTACTGGCAGCCTTCTCAGGGCTCTGCATCCAAGTTGCTGGCTTCCCTGACTGATGACCTCTACTATGCCCACAGGGCACTGTTCATACTGTCCAACAGCCTCCTCAGTAACAGTATCTAGCCAGCAGGATTTCTCTCCTTCACACTTCACTGCTGGCCTCAGTGTCCCTTCTAGCCTCCAACTTCTAGTCCTTACCTCTTTCCCTGTACTCAAGTTCTCTTTTTTAAAATTTTTTTTTCTTTATTCATGCATACAAGAACTGGGGTGTAAGCCACAGATGGGGGGTGGGGCAGTGGCAGGATTCACCAGAGACAGAGTAGGAAGCAGAACAGGCCAAATCTACTGAAATATACTGCTGAGGGGAGCAGCAAGTAAGACAGGAGAGGTCTGCTGAGCATTGTGGGTCAGCTCCCTGGCCATCGATCAGCAGTGGCTGGTGGTAGCTTGCTAGTGCTAAGCCTTTAACTCCTGCGCCACCAGGGAGGTCTTGTACTCAATCTCTTAAATCCAAATAAACTTTGAAAACTGAATTCAATGTAAATGTGGCACCAAATCCCAAATTAACAAGGTAGGATGAAACAAGGTAAAGTATCTATTTATCTATCTATCTAGATACACATGTATGCACATGCATATGTGTGTGCATATATATAGAAATTCCACAGGAAATTGGCTATCTATGACTGGTGAAATTATAGGTGATTAATAATTTCCCATCAATAAATGCATTTTAGTATTAGAACAAACTCAAATGGTAAATCTGACCTGAAAGGATTTGAGAGTAATTGAGTTATCTCTTTTTAAAAAAGATTTATTTATTTATACATGCAGAACTGGGGTACAGGCCAGATGGGTGGGGGGGTGGTGGTGAGAGGATTCACCAGAGAAAGAGTGGGGAGCAGAACAGGCAGATTTGCAAAGATCACCTCCGGGCCTGGAACACCTCTGGGGCCTGGATCACCTCCAGGCCCGGGATGAAACTCGCACTGAAGCGGCTGCAGCTAGCTTGCAGTGCTGCGCCCTAACCTGTTACACCACCAGGAAGGGCCTAATTGAGTTATCTTAATATGACTAGTAAGTTCTTCCATTTGCATCATTTGCTTCCCCCCCCCCTAGTCTAAAAGCTTTTTATATTAATGAAGTACCATTGTCTTACATCTTTGTTATTATTTTGAGAATATAGGATTTCTCCATATGATTTCCTATTTAAAAATTGTTTCATGTTATGGTAAATTGCTCTAGAAGCTTCTGCATAATCGATAGTGTGAAGAACAGTTTAATTTCAAAATCTTAAAACTTCTAATTCTTACATAAATTCTTTTTGGAGGGAGGTCCCTTAGAAAAACTGACTGTGTCCCAAATGATACAGCTTTCATTTTAAAATAGCCTTTTCTTTCCTAGGACTCCAAGGCACTACACACCTGGCCTGGGGATGGGGAAGGGGACATCTGTAGCAGTACTCGGAACCATGCTTCCATTCCTCTGACTCCCAGAACCTTGCTGAAAATGGCCTCTCTCTGCACCATAGGGTGATCTCCTCTCAGATGCTCACTTTCTCTCTGTGAAGCCAGTTCCCTTTGGGGGTCCCTTGCCCCACTAATTATGTCCACATATATTTGAACTTTAATTGCAGACAAAGTCTAAAGTTATTTTTCATGGAATTTCAGGACTCCATAAGAGGATTAGTAGATACCTTTTAAGTGTCCCAAGCATTCTATTTCTCTTAAAGAAGCTTGTGGAAGAAATGCTGGACAGTGGTATTCAACCCCCAAGTTGATATCTTCAAGTCCCAGTTCCAGTTCAGGAAAAACATGTACTTGGTTGGAAGAACACTTTGAATCATATTTGTGGTCTATCTCTAGGAAGCCAGTAGGACCATAACCCCACGCATTTTGCAAACAAAACTGCTGGGTTTATATTATTGTCCTCATTCTCTGTTTTCTTTTATTCTACTTTCTCTGCACTTATTTTTTAATTTATCCTACCAAACATATTTACTTAAATCCCTTCTACTGGAATAAAGCAAGATTTAAAGATAGGTAGTTTAGGAAAACACACACATAATGCTGAGGAGTCACTTCTTTAACCCAGAAGGTGCCAAGATGAACTGGCAGCCATAAAAGACTATAAAAACTACTCCAGACAGAAAACTATTCCAAAACTACTTACCACTACAGTTTAGTGATCATGTTATGTCTACCACAATGAATGCACAAGCTAAATTTTGAAAAAAGAATGATAAAAACACAAAAGCACTAGGAAATGGTAGCTTTGTGCGTCATTCAGATCATTATACAGCACTCAATTTAACAATGCTTTTCTCCCTCAAAACCTCTGGTTTCTACTCTGCAAGTCTGTGACATCACAGATGCATATTTAAGCATCCCAGCTCAGAAACACTCCGAGGGAGCAGAGCACTAGAGCTTGGGCGTGAATCCCAGAATTGCCACCCACTTACTTCTGTGATTTGGGGCAAGGTATTTAACCATTCTGCGCCTCAATTAACGCCAAGTACAAAGTAAAGGTAATTATAGTACTTACTTTGTAGTGCCAGTGTTAAAGACTAAATGATATAACAAATGTGTAACACTTAACAGTGCCAAAACACATACAGGAATCTCAATAAATGTTAGTTATTATTAGTGAAAGGTGATTGGGACAGGCATTGTCTTGAACTTGGGACAGCTTTTCTTGTCTGAGTTTCTGGACAAACACCTGAGGAATAAATGAAACCTTTTTGTCTAACTACCTCTAGAACAAGCCAAACTCTGGCTTGTCTGGATCCTTTGCATGGTTACACTTTTTCCTGCTCTCTAGAGGCAGAATTATATCATGAAAGAACAGCTGGGCAACAACCTTTGAGTCTCCCGTCTCTTGTCTCTGTCTTCCGTATACCTGATACTTGGTGGGTGCTGCAGCACAACGCTACAAGTAGGCTCATCCAAACAATTATTGGTAAAAGGCGAGAGGATTAAGCAATATAACAGAAGGACGAATGGTAAAGCACTTGAAAATTAGTATCCAGTACTGGACAAAAGATACGCGAAGCCTACCTGGAAGGCAGAGTGGTAGGTAAATATTACTGCTGACCATTCCAGGGCACTCTTACTTCATCTGGGGCGATTGGGCAACTAACCTGTTGAACTGTAAAGGGTAGCCCCCTAATTTGCATGTCCAACTTTTCCAGCGGGGTCACCCCTCTTGCTTCCAAAACGCGCAAATCTGGGTTTCAAGAAAGGGTCCTGGCAGCCCGCGTCTCTCGGGTAACTGAAACATCAGGAATTCCTCGCAAAAGCAGGGAATGAAGCGAAGAGGAAAACTGAGACCGGCAAGCAGGGCGCCCCGGCCCCGGGAACTAAGAGGCGGCGAACGTGGGCGCAGCCTCCGCGCGCTCTGCGTAAAGGGAGCCTCCCCCGCACAGCAGACCCCCCAGTCCCTACGGAGCGCTTGCGCCGCCGCGGCGATTCGGCGCAGTGGCAGCGGAGAGGGAGGACGAAGCACCTGCGGGAAGGCGGCGGCGGCCGCGGGAGCGGCGGGAGAGCTGGGGCTAGTGCGCCTGCGCGGAGGCCCGGGCGGGGAGGGCGGGGCCGCCAAGAAGCGTAGTGCGCCTGCGCGGAGGGCTGCGTGGCGCGGTGGCGGGGAAGGCTGGTGTGGAGTGAGTGGCGCTGCGGGTGGGGCCGTCGGCGGCGCTGGTGAGCTTTGCGGAGTTGGGCGGTGCCGAGGAGGAGGAGGAGGAGGAGGAGGTGGTGGTGTAGGAGGAGGAGGAGGTGGCAGCGGCGGCGGCTGGGTCTGACGCGGCCCGGTTCGTGGGGGCTCCGCTTGTTTGTTTATTTATTTATTGTGTGTGGCTCGGAGTGTGCGCGCGCTCCACCACTTGTGGGGAGGGGGTGGGGGGAGGGCGCGGGGCAGGGGGAGTCGGAACCGGGGTCGAAACGCCGCGTGACTTGTAGGTGAGGGAACGCCGAGCCGTCGCCGCAGCCTCCGCCGCCGAGAAGCCCTTGTTCCCGCGGCCGGGAAGGAGCGTCTGGTGCCGACAAGATGGCGGACGGGGAGCTGAACGTGGACAGTCTCATCACCCGACTGCTGGAGGGTGAGTGTGGGCATGGCGGGCCGCTGGGAGGGGGCGCCGCCCTCGCGCTCGGCCCCCGCCGCCCGACACGGGGACCCCTCCCCGTCCCCCACCCCCATACACTCTTCAGTTTCCCGCCCCGACGCGGCCTGCGAGGAGGGAGGCGAAGAGGCTGGTGGGCCGGGGTGGGGGAGCGGCCTCCGGGAACGCGGGCGGACCTGCAGGGACCCTCTCGGAGGCGCTGGCCGCAGGGTTCAGGGAGCCCGGGGGTGCCGGGGAGCCTTTCCCGAGGAGGGCGCGAGGTTGTGTGCTCCTGTGCCTGGCGTGCCAGTGGAACGTATGTCTGCTCTGTTCTCTTTGTGCATTGCCCTTGGCGGTCTCGGATTCTTGTTCTGGGAGCGGATTTTATGAGAATCTTCATAAAACGACGGTTTAATCTGTCCCTCTGCATTTTTTATCTGCTGCCGTGGAACGAACTCTTTGAGGAGAGGATAACGTTAGCAGGAGTTGACTACCTTATTATTTTGCTTAAAATATAATTAAAACCTTGCTCGAGCTGAAATGCACGAATTATGAAGTATGTAGACTGTCGCTTTCGGGATTGAGAATTTTAACAGGTTTGAGCCGAATTTAATATCTTTCCAAACTTAGTAAATGTCTACTGTAAAAGCCTCTCGTGTTTAAAAGGTATTTACAAGCCTCTGCAGCTTTTGAAGTTTCCGGGCCCTAATGTTTTATTGAATAGTTTTATGTTGGGCATGGGGGGATAAGGAGAAGAGATGGCCAAACCAGATTATTCAAAGTTACTGCGATCTTTTGCCATTGAAATCTGTTACCCTAAAATTTGCGCCATCAATTATTTTGCGAGTGTGTAGAAAAGAAATTAAGTCTTTTTGAGAGTCTTCTGTCAGAAACTGGAAGGAACTAATGTGCGCTAATCTTTGATTGACTAATTACCTGAAGATACTGTTGACTACAGGGAAGCAGTGTGTACTTTTATTTGGAAAATCATCAAAGAAGGTTGTATGATGGAAGGGCACTAGTTCCTTTTTTCGATTTATGTGTCGCAGTCTCGTCAGTTCTGTGTACCTATTGTGTAATAAAATACAGCTTATTTGCTCCAGATATGAAAGCCTTCAGGGCAGTCTGACACTGAATTGAAAGCCGATTTACCAGGAACTCTTATTTACCTTTTCCCTCCACTATCAACTTATTCCTGGGAGGCCCCCTGGTGCCTGCAGTCAGTGTTGACTGCTGAAGGCTTTGTGGACATCAACAGATGTGAACAGTCTTGCCGAGTCTGTAAAACGTTTGCTTTGTAGTTTGTATTCTACAGTCTAAGCGGGAAGTACAGCTTTTTACAAAATTAAGCATCTTGTTAACTTTGTGAGACACTTAGGCCTCCACCCCATTTTTATGTTGTTTTAATCTTGGCTTGTACATTTAAATCCTTTAAGAATCTGATGCTGACATCTGCCACTGCCCTTTTCCCCCCATGTAGTTACATACTGTTTAGGCATAAACAGTAGCTTGATGTGTTTTAAAATGTTTGACCTAGAACTTTTAAATCAGACACACCTTTTATAATTATAGATACTTAAGAAATTTAGCTGGTGGGCTTTTCGAGGTTATTGGGGAAAAGGAATGGCTGGGAGCTAGGCTAAGTGGTTCGTGTGTGTGTGTGTGTGTGTGTGAGAGAGAGAGAGAGAGAGAGAGAATTCACATTAGATATTTGGTTCTGGTTGGATAGTCTCTTTTTTCATTTTTGGTGAGAAATCTAGTCCAGCACATTTTCTGTTTTTAACTGGCAGCATTTACTGACCTTTGTGCCAGTCATGCAGACTCCAAAGATGAGACAATTTCTTGATTCAGGGAACACCCAATCTAAACCGAGTGATTTTCAAGCCTTTCCAGCCCCCTCTCTTTCCATATGTTCAAAACTCTGTGGGTAGAGTTATAGTTTGTTTAATCTTGGGACATATATTTACAATTTCATAGTGTTTCTCTAGGATTCTAAAATTTTCCAGATTCCTTCCCCCTTCCAAAATCTAGACCCAGTCAAAGACTTCCAGAACAGGTTTGGAGTTTTTATTAAGTAATTATTTTTAGTCTTCAATTTTTTTAAAATCTGGCTTGATTTTTAGTGATGCACATGCTTTTTAAATTTAACTCAGATACAAGTGATGGTATTTTGTAAAGCTGCCTAACATAATCGCTAGAGATTTTTTTGGTTTGGTTGGGTTGGACTTTTTTGTTGTATTTGAGGGAAAGGAGGATTAAAGGGACATACTAGTTAAATTTGGCCAGGTTTCTATATTTGGGGGAGAAGGATTTGTTCTCATTAAAAAATGTGAATTGTGGGCCCTCCCTCCTGGGTCAAAGCACAGCACTAAGTGGGTTAAAGCACAGCACTAAGAAGCTAAAAGCCACTTCATTGTGAGTTCCATCCCTGCTCTGGATGGCATGGCTGGCATGGCATGGCTGGCATGGTGAGGCAGACCTCTCCTGACCCGCCCCCTGCTCCCCTCAGCAGTGTACTTCATAGATCTGCCTATTCTGCTCCCCACTCTTTCTCTGGTGAATCCTTTCACTGCCCCTGCACCTCTGGCCTGTACCTCAGTTCTGTATGCATAAATAAATAAATCTTTAAAAATGAATTGTTCCACAACATTTTTTCTTCCTTTTACTTTTTTGTTATGTTGAATGACCAATCAGCTAGAACACATTTAGTAACTACATTTTATGAATTGTTTTGTTCTTCTTTGGTTGGTGAGCATACAATGTAATATTTTCAAAGTGTCTAAAATTTTATTTTGTTACTTTTTTAATTTTTAAAGATTTATCTATTTCTGCATATAAGAGTTGGGGTACCTGCCAGAGGTGTAGGGGTAGGAAGATTCACCAGAGACAGAGTGGGGTGCAGAACAGGTGGACTGAGTGAAATACACTGCTGAGGAGAGGTCTGCGGTGCCATGTGGGTCACCTCCCTGGCTGGGGATTAAACTCTTGCTGCAGTGACTGCGATAGCTTCTTAGTGGCATGCTTTAACCTGTCGTGCCACCAGAGAGGGCTCTCCCTTACTATTTGGGAAACAATACACTAATGTGTTGTATGGACAGTGGATGTCCCGCCAGGGTCAAGGGCATTTTCAATTTTATAGTTACCCCTCTATATCTTGTAGCTTATGGTAGTGTTCTTGACTGCTTGTTTAAATTGAAGCTAGTTTCTATGAATAGCCTGGAAAATCCAGTTAAAATCTTGACTGTGGTGAGTAATTAGCAAAGGAGATCTAGGGTGACAGTGGCAGGATAGTATAAATATTGGATTATTTTGGTGGCGGTGAATTGGAACTAATAGAATCTGATGTGGTAGGGAAAAGGACAGTGTGCAGTCTTGAGCCAAGTCTTTAAAACTGGACTATATCAGTTCACATGCCTATTTTATAGCTCATATTGTGTATATATATCTTTATACATCATAGGTACATGTAAAACTTTGTAGTTTGCTTATTTTGTGATCGTCAATTTAGCATTCTTGTAGAACACCTGTAAAACAGAGTAGAACAGAAAAAATCCCAAGTCCACTTATAATTTTATCAAGATTACTCCACCTTTTTTTTTTTTTTAAGAGTTATTTGTGCATACAGAACTGGGTACAGGCCAGAGGTGCAGGGGTGGTGAGAGGATTCACCAGAGATAGAGTGTTGAGCAGAACAGGGAGATTGATGAAGTACACTGCTGAAGGGAATAGTGGGTGGGTCAGGAAAGGTCTGCTGAACCATGTGGTCATCTCCAGGGCTGGAGATTAAACTCACATTGATTGGCTTGGCTGCTGCTCGCCTGCAGTGCTGCATCCTAACCTGTTGCACCACCAGGGAGGGCCAATCATGTACTCTTAAAATGTGGTTAAGCTGACAGACTTAGCAGATAGGAAGCTTTCTTCTTATTTAGTCCTTCTGGAGTTCAAAAGGGAATGGATTTGAAAAATGAAATAGAATCCTGAAACCCCAGTAAAGCCTGCCCTTTTAAATAACCGTTTTGTTGAGCTGTAATTTGCATATGTTACAATTACCTATTTGAAGTGTATAATTCAGTGGTTTTTAATATATTCAGAGTTGAGTAGCCATCACCACAGTCAACTTTAAAATCTTTTCACCAGCATTTTCAGAAAAACTCTGTTCTCATTAGATACTACCCACCCTACCCTTAACTAGGCAATCACTAGTCTACTTTCTTGTATGGCTTTGCCTGCTACAGACATTTCAT